GGGTGGACTATGAGGTTTAAAATCCCAGTGCTATTTCAATTCCAGTTCCCTACCTCCACCTATTTGTGGATTGTAATCAAAGCTCTCAACTCTTTCTGTTGCTAGGTTTCTACATTGTTGTCACCATTCCCTGCCATAATTGACTGGAAGTTTAAATAAACCTTCCTTAAGGAATTTTATCACAGCAATAGAAAAGTATCTCACTCACTCTCAGCACTTTAAAGAATGACCAAAAAGCACATCAATAAATATTAACCCATAAGATCAACTATATAACTATAATTTATCTGTGTTTTGCATTTTAAAGGCACAAATAAGAAATAACATTGTCTGTAATGAACACATTTCCAATTCAGATCATCAAAGATTAATTTCCACATGTGAATCATAGATTTTTTTCATTGAAAACATATTTGACACCATTTTAGCTAATATTTCTACATCTTGCCTCACAGAAATTTTTGGAAACCATTCAAATTCTGATCTGAAGAGGACCTTGTGACTGATGCTGGAATTGATCTTATCAGGATACTGTAATATAGTGATATAGGAGGAAAGATCTCCAGGTGCACAATGAAGGACCCTTTCCAGAGTAGTCACATCTCTGAGTGAGAAGAATGTGTGTGTAAGGTGAAGTAACAGATCATCTAACTGTTCTGGGCATATGACTTTGCATATGTCTGAATCTGAAAAACAAATATACACTTAATTATGCATGTTATTTCTAGAACAATTCATAAATTTTAGTTGACATCTTCAATGTCAGAATGAACTCACACGGGAAGCAGGCCCACAGCAATAGAAGTGATATTACATAGTGCTCATTTTCTGAAAACACTGAGTACTGTATTTTACCAAAAAAATAAGTATCCAATTATATTACGTGTGTATATGAAGTGTAGTATCTATACAGCTTCCTATAAAAACATCTCTGTGTCGGCTTCATGAAAAGATGTAAATTGTCTATTTGAATTATGAAGATAATCACTGAGATTTTCAGATACCAATCTATTCATAATAGCATTAAATTTTTTGATTCTCAATTTCAACAGTTATTAAAAGCACAAATTCTGCTTAATATAAAAAATATTGTCCCTCTTCTCTAACCATGGTGACATATAGGAATATAAAATAATGTAAAAACATATTCCTATATGTTTTGTTGGATATTATATACAACCTTTTAATAAAGTTTTTATGATAATTATAGTATGAGGTAGAGGATCTCATGACTTCAGTGATCAGTTATTAAAAACAGTCAAAATTGAATGCTTATTTTGAGGAAAGAATCAATAAACTAAATTCTAGTAGAAGGGGACCAACATGATTTTGAACTTTCTTACATGAAATAACTTCACTTTAAAAAGAAAGAAGCCATGTATAATATCAGCATACAAGTTAGGACATACTTTCATAACAAATTGGAACAAATATTTAGGAAACCTATTGAAAAGTTTTCTTAGAAATTATTTACTACACATTTGTTTTGTCAGGAAATACTAACCAATCTTTAAACAAGTTGTATGTGCTAGTATATATTAGCAATTATATAATTCCAAATGACATGCAATTTGTATGTAATATAACTATTTAAATAAAGAAAATACTACAGATGGGATACAGTAATCTTTTATTTTTCTGGATCAGCTATAATTTGAAGAAATGAAACTTTATATTTATCACATGAAGTTTACCAAACCAGTAAGGCAGTATGAAAGGAAGCAGTCTAATGTTATTTCAAAAGCTATCTCAGGATTAAAATGTATTCCTTTGTCACTAGAAAAATATGTTTTAAATATAACAATAACTCTACTCTGAAAATTTATAAAATGCAGCCACAGGAATATACTTTGTCATATACAGTGGAGGTTTAAATAAATACAAAAATAAAATTTAATGGGTTAGAAAAGCTTTTTTATAATAATACAGCATCATGATTTTGCAATTAAGAAGAAAAATGATACAGAGATTTAATTTAGGAATTTAAAAGATTTTGAGTGTCTACAACTTCAAATTCAATGCTATACATTTTTTTCTTATACATGCACAATATTTAGATGTGCATGGGTTATTTTAAGTTATCAGAGCTAGTTAGACATAAGCCTGAGCTATCAGCCAAGCATTTGTAATTAATACAATCTTCAGTGTATTTATTTGAAAGCTGCTGGCAGGACAGAAACTTCTGCCTACATAGATGTTATAACATTGCCATTAAATTAAAAGGAATTTGAGTTGTTTTAAGTCAGAAACACTTAATAATAATAATGATAAAAACTGAATGCTTTTTGTCTTAAACTTGATGCAATGTATACATGTACTGAACTACCATATAGTGCCCTCTAACAATGTACACTTGTAATCTAAATTAAAAATGACGTCACATAGACAAAATTCATAGCAATGTAAAGATTTAGTATTTACTCCCTAAATTTATAGGTAGAATGCCTGCTAATATTTTAAGCCTAGTTATATGCATACTTATGTACAAATTGCACAAGTAAATATAATGTAAAAAATCATAAAACATGTTAAAATCATTTACAATTTAGCAATTCACTTCACTAATGGAACAAGGCACAAAGAAGTTGGCAATAACCAACCAATTTAGAAAGGTGGATAATAAAAATAGTAAGACAAAAATACTACTAGGTGAGTGGAGTTAGATGGTTACATAAATACATACAGCCTAACATATTAGAGAACATCAAAAGAAGTACATCTAAAATATTTGTAAGTTCAGAGATAATAGATTAGAACTGCCCAGATGGAACACAATTGTTTGAAAGAAAAGAACACTTTTAAGCACACTGAAACTAGGTAGTTTGCTGGGTGTGGTGGTGCATGCCTTTGATCCAGCACTTGGGAGGCTAAGTTCTACAGTGGGAGGTCCAGGACAGCCAGGGTTACACCGAAAAACCCAGTCTTGAAAAACCAAACCAAACAAACAGAAAGCAAGAGAAACATAAAGGGAAGAAAAGAAAGTAGCTAACATTTCAGTGTACAGTTAGAGTACAGTGAAAGAGGCCACTACAGCAAAAGAGTACACAAGGCATGCTCTGATAACCTGGTCCTGGGAAAAATAAGCACTGTCAACTGTGGCTTGCCTCTTCTAGCTGCATATGGCCATGTTGTGGTTAATCTGCCAGGCTACTTAAAGGTTTGTAATTCACTAAGTTTCTCAAGATAATTAAAGCATTAAACTTTCAAGTCCTGTATTTATAAGCTTAACCATCAATTGAATAATATCCATGAGATCATTCATTATTTCTATCTGTATAAATACGTTCATATTTAATTCTATTAGAGTTTCACCGTGGAAACTAATAGCTGCGTGACTTAATGTAATGACCAAGAATAGAAATATATTTTAATAATTAGGGTAAAATGCAAATTCTACAATGAGTTTGAGAAAGTCAGCATTTTAAAAGAAATTTTAAACATTCCTAACAGCAAAATGCAGAAGGACAGGTGGATCTCTGTGAGTTCGAGGCCAGCATGGTCTATAGAGTGAGTTCCAGGAAAGGCTTCAAATCTACAAAGAAGCCGTATCTAGAAAAACAAAACACACACACACACACACACACACACACACACACACACACACACACACACACACACACACACAGCAGAATTGCACCTTCAACACTACCACTATAGGTAACTGTGAAAACAGTAATTAAAAGTTCCTAAAGTGAAACTCTGTGACAATTCTTATCATACCTGTCTTTGAATTTAGATGTTATCAAGTTGCATACTGAGATGTGAAACACTTATTTTCTTATTAAACACAAACTTCACTGAGATAACTTTCATTTAGGAAAACGGAGTACTAAATGTCTTAACACATATGATAATCTTCTGAATTTAATCTCTATCAGTAACAATAAATATGTCAACAGTTTAGCATGGGCTTTAGTGTCTAATGTCATGTTAGCCAGGTGAACTTCCCTCTCACAAATAACTAATCCATTCTTATTTTTAAAAATGTAATTTATGTGAACATTATCACTTATTATTTATCCCAGTATTTCCCTGGAATATAAATTTTTATTGTATGGTCTGAAAATAACTTTTTTCAAGCGGTAACATAGGTGCCTCCCAGGTGTGAAACTCTCTGGAAATATAAGTATCTTCCCAAAGATACATGAAGCAAGCAAAGGGTGGGGGTGGGGGCACTACATTTTGAAAGACCAAATTAAAGACATTGAGTCCACAATAAAGCTGGTAAAATCTTTAAAGCTTTCAAAATTTAAAAGACAGTACAGCTAAGAGTTGCACCAGTTTGCATAAAAGAGGAACATTCTAGGAATGATAACTAATGTGTACATACTAGATTTACATCAAACATTTCTGCTTTATCTATCCTGACATGTGTTTTCACATGGGACAACTAAAGACAATTAAGGGACACCAATAATCAATTCACAACAAAATAATAAAATTAATTATTTTGGCTCTGATGGCATCCTGTCTCAACTGCTAAGAAGGGAGAAAGAGAAGAGGTATGTGAAGGAAAAGTAAGATATCAGGAGAATAAGAGAGAGAGGAAATGTCTATTTAAAATCAAGCAAAACATAATTGTGAGTGAAGAGAGAATCCAGATAATTCATTCAATTTCTTCAACTTCCCTTAGTGTGCTTGGAACAACTTAAAAATACTGAGCTGTCTTAAGCAACTGGGAAGTCCTGACAGCTGGGTTACAGGATGTGAGAATAAGCATTCAATTCTACTCTGTATGCTCTCAGAAAACAAAACATAGCTATATCTACACAAGGGACAGTAAATTCTGGTTCCATGTAGGAAGATAGGAGGACATAAATAAAATTACGACTGAGTTCTTCTGTAGGCTACACTGTAAAATCCAAAACAATGAATCTGAGCACACATAGCATTGGTGAAGAGAAGATCTAATGAGTAAATAGTAAGAGCATATGCACAGCATGTGATGATGTTAGATTTGCTTAGGAGCAAAAAAAAAAAAAAAAAAAAAGTCCCTACTGCTTCCTGTCCCTTAGACTTAAAAAGACAGCAGCCAGGAAGACACACACACATACACACACATGGGACATTTTACAGTCTATTAAAAAAAAAGATTTGAATCTTTAAAAAAAAGATTTACAAGACTTAAATATTCTGATGACACTCTGATGACACAATGTTGTCAAAAATGATGAACATGTGTTCATTTTTCTTCTTCATGCTTGCAGTATGGAGAGTTTGATGAACAAAGTTGAGAATTGTTTTCAAGTTCATGTCACACATGTCTAATGTGGGGGAATTATCAATCACTCCCCATTACATTGTTTCTGTGTTATGTAACCATCGGTTACATCTGCTGCATTCCTAATACATAGTTCATTGCTTGAACCTGTAATAAAGTCAAATTGGAAACACTATATGAAAACAAGCAACAATTTCACTAGTAATTTTTATCAATTACTAAATATTTTAGTGTGGCTTACACTTTCAGAGTTATATATGGAATAGAGTTTCTTATTAAATCACACAAAACATCATTAATAGTCAGAAAGAAGTCATCAGATTTACGTTGACAACAGCAGCACATCTCCCAGAGTTGTCTCAGAGTCCTGGCTGTGGTTGGAGCTAATGCCAGTGTCCGAATCTGTGTCATTTGTGTATGTGTTGAATGCCCTTTGAGTTAATGGAGGGATCTCCGCACTGCCGCTGGCAGCCTCGTGTTCCTTTCCTTTGTTTTCTTTTAATTGGCATCCATCTTTGTTGCTAAGGTGAAACGAACTGAACTCCTTGGCCAGGAGTTCGTATTCTCTTGCTTTCATCTGAAGCAATGAGTCACTGTATTTAATCTCTTTCTGGATGCCACTCAAGTGAGAGTAGATTTTCAAACCAGCTTTCATACTCTTCTCCAAATCGCACTTCACATTTTCTAAATCAGAGTTTTCGAGTTCACAGGCAGCTGCCCCCTCTGAATCTTCACTTCCGTCGATGCCCAAGCTCTTCAACTCTCTCTCAATTTCAGCCGAGAGCTTTTCGATGAGCACTCGGTAGTACTGCAGCCGTTCTTCTAGCTGTGCCATCCCCTCACCATCGTGCACGTCCACCAGAGCCTGGCTGTCCTCAGGTTGAAAGTCTAGCATTTGCTCCTTTTCACTAACCCTGGGCATTAAATATGCCTCCTGAACGTAATTGTCCCCATCATTCCCTACCCGGTCCAAGTGGATCTTAGCCTCACATTTCTCAATTTCCATATCTAACTCTTTCATTCTTTGTACTTGCTGGTGAATAGTGTGGTCCTGAGAAATAATTAGATGAACCAAAGTCTCCATACTGTCCCGATCATGAGAAAACATGTCCTGCTTAATTTTAGCCAGTTTTCGGAAGGTTTTCCTGACGATTCGTTTTTGTTTATCTGGTGGCAAAGTTTTCATGTAGTTCGCCGGACTGAGCTCCCAAGGCTTTTCACTATTTTGCACTAGTTTGGTTTCCGCTGTCCTCCACAGTGGAACTGGGAGAAAGGCATCTGTTTTAACCAAAACAAACTGCATGTTGGCTTGCTCATCTCCCCAAGCCTTCCATAGCTTCAGGATCCTCGTCAGTGGAGGAAGGGCCCGCTCTGAGCCCCTCCACTTCTCTACGATGCAGTAGTCACTGGCCTTGCCCAGTAGAAATCTCTTCTCTCCAAATGTAGCCTCATGTTCCTCCAGCAAAGCCTGGATGACATCGGTGGAGGTGGTGCGTTTAGTTAATCCACAGACAATCTTTTCCTCCTGGCAAACCCAAACCACAATTTCCTTCTCCTCAGAATCCATGTCTTTAGTTGGAGATCTAAAAGGAAAACAGAGTATTATATTTCTGTCATCGCCTGTGTAAACTGGAATGACGGTTTAGCAATAATGCCTTTCCTTGCCTCTACTTTTAATGAGGACATACTTCGAAGGTGTGACTACAGAGTAGGAAGATGTGCTTTAATATATAAATGAAAAACTTTTGGATTTTTATTCAATTGACTTTTTAGCTGGTTGTGGAAAGGACATTATTGTCGCTGAAAAACAAGTAAAATGTTTTTCTTTATTTACTCTTTTAAAATTAGTCTTGACATGCTTGCAGAACTGATACAGTGACAATAATGACAGAGAGCATGACAAAATAAGACATAGGATAAGGCGTTTCTCTTTATACTGGAATCTTCAGAGGAAAAATAGGTTAATAAAGGTAGAAATGGTCAGATTAAGTATTGCAGAATCAAAAATAGCTGGCTCTGTGATTCTATATTCAATGCAGCCATGCTTCCATTGAGCAAGCCTTTAATCTGACTCTGTACAAGCATGGCTGACAATATTGCACAAACAGGAATAGCAATGAACAAAGAAGATGGTTATGCAGGTATCTGTTTCAAAAGCAGTATCATGTGTCAGGTTTTACACAGACGTGACAAAATAGCTGGCTGTATAATACAAAATAGTAGTGTATCCACTCAAGGGAGGAAGGATTCATTCACAGTTTCAGAGGCTTCATTCTGCTACTTGGTTCCATACACTTGGGAAGAATATCATGGTAGAGTGAAGGACATGGGGAGTAGGGAACATGGCAGACAGGAGATAAAAAGAAAGCTTGTAATGTGATCAATAAAAAACCAAACAGATTCCTAACAGGAAGTATTCACAGCTCTAAAGACATACTGCAATGACCAGCTTCCTTCACCCAGGCCCACCTCCCAGTAGCCTATACAATGGTGTTGGAGAAAGGATGAAAAGATGATGGTTTACAGGACTATTATTTTAGGCACAGAAATGATAGGAAGCAAATTGAGCTGGAGTATGAGTGTCCATAGATTTAACAGTATTTACTCTTTTTGCTATTGAGGGAACTGGTACATTAGTTTGGATTTTGCTACTAACAAAATCCTTGAAACAGACTATTTTCTAAAGGAGAAAAAAGTTTATTGTAGCTCACATTCTAAATTCACAAGGCCCAGGGATTTCAACTAATGAAGACTTCTTGCTGCTAAAAATCTCAAGGTAGCATAGAGCATCCTATGGCAAGACATGGAGAAGGTACATGGCCATATGCAGCCACTCCCTATTCTTGCATAAATGACTATATGCAGCCTTAATCACATCCTTAAGGTCATATTTCTGAACACCATAGTTACAAAAGTGTACATTCCCTTACTACTGTAAATTTATGGCAGAAAAAAAGCCCTGTGTGGATTCAAATGCAAATTAAAATATAAAGGAGTGTTTATCCAGAGGAGACAAAAATCAGTTTTCTTGAGTTCAAAAGCAAGGGGACTCTCTAACTCCTAATGGAGAACTGTTAAAACCATATTTCCATTGTAAGTATAAATCACATGAACTTTGTCTTTCACAATACCTTTCTAAAGAATGCTAGCAAACCAGTGATATAATTTATTTGCCAATGTGATTTATGATGCCATGAAATGTATGAGTGTAAAGCGATTTGTAGCGCAAGTTAAGGCAAATTCATTCATCACTTTATGTAATAATCCTTAAGCATATACTCAATGAAGAAGTTATGGAAGACATTGTTACCATTTCATTCTACACTTAGAATGTATAGTGTTTATGTTTTAGTAGCAAAACTCAATAATGTTATTTGATGGATTTTCTGTCATGTGGAATACACTTTTCACTTTAACTATTAACTTCTAAGATGAAGTAGAAGAAAATCAGTAACAACAATAAAGAACCCTAAAAGATCAAGATCATTCCCTCGCAGAGAATTTAGTACAATGAAATATTCAACTGTAGAAAGTAGAATCTTATATCATCAGCCAAAATCTATACTGGATTTTGACAATTCTCTTCAAAAATGTTTTCACTCAGTAACTCATATTGAATAATACTGTTTTAAAGCAATATGGTATTTTGACTATGTTTATAGTCCATTGGCTAATTATATGCCACACAAAATGTGTTAGAATTCAAAACAACAAAAACATCATATTCTTACTAATAGAGAAAAAATGCACACTGATGTCCTTAATAAAACCTAGCACATTCTCAAAGAAAGTGATTGATTAATTACTACCTGTGTTATGGCAATACAGTATAAATTAGCTGTAAATAATCTATACCTTTATGAGTTTTAGCCATTATACATACAATACTCAAAATGAGTGCAAATGCCTTTATACTTTGCAATTAGACACTGTTTACTTCAGCTTTGATAATTTTAAAAGCAGTAACTCATTCTGCAAATTTTTTAAATTAGAACTTATTTACATATATGATTTTTCATAAAACTATAAACTTTAGTTTTTGTCTTAATTATCAACATTAACTAATAGTACAAATAGCTATAATATTTAAGTGAAGAAATAATTTATATTATTCTTTTAAATGTTTGAGGTTTGCAGAAATCTATTCAACATATATAACATTGGGCCAGCAAAATGGCTGGATGCCCACATCCGTTTAATGATCCATCCCCAGAATCCACATGGTAAAAATACAAAAAAGACTCTTATAAATTGTTCTTTTACCTCTACATACCTACAGTGGCATGCACCCCGACACACACACACACACACACACACACACACACACACACACACCTATATCCCATAACCCTCTCTCCACACCAAAAAACAAAATAACCAATTTAAAACATACAACATTACAAATCATAACAATGAAATATAAGGAGCTTGAAATATTCCAGGCATTCCTCTCATATCTGCTATGTATTAAATCATTTAATTATTGCAGTTCTAGAAGGGCAACAGATATTAATCTCAATTCACACATGAAAATTAAAAAGTATAGGGATATACCAAGTTTATAAATTGGATGTTTTAGACATGTGAGTTAAACTGATCCAGACCCCATGAATGTGGGTGTCAGTGTGGAGGCCTCGGAAATCTATAGGACCTCTTGTAGTAGATCAGTACTTATCCCTAGCATAGAAATGGGCTTTGGGAGCCCATTTCACATAGAGGGATACTCCCTGAGCCTAGACACATTGGGGAGGGCCTAGGCCCTATCCCAAAGGATATGACAGACTCGGAAGCATTCCCCATGGAAGGACTCACCCTCCCTGGGGAACAGAAAGGGTATGGGATAGGTAGGGTGTTAGTGGGGGGGCAGGAAAGGAGGGGAAGGAGAGGGAAATGGGATTGACAAATAAAACAAACTTGTTTCTAATATAAATAAAAATGGAGAAAAAGATAAATAAAAATGTGTTATTTTTATTGAATGTTATCATGAAAACATTGTCTTCTGAGAGCAATGGACTTACAGTATCCACTTCATCTAGAAGGCCTTCTTTCATTTGTAGCCATGGGGAAAGTGCACAGGATGTGTTAACGTCTATAAGACTTTTAAAAGATTACTCATGTCTCTAAGGTGATAGACTAGTAAGGACTTTCTGGCTTCTTTTAGAATCTCCATTAACTGACAAAACATGAAAAAAAAAAAACAGCTGCTCCTGTTCCCTTTTTAGTTCTGGTCTTCACTAGTGGATGCTGTCTGACCTGCGAGTTCTTCAGTTCTTCAGCCCTACATTAGAGGTATGAATGGCACTGAAAAACCAGGGAGCAGAGATTGCATTTTATAGTTTCTTACACATTGAGGTGTTATTATTCCAAAAGGCTGCTAAGTTTTTAGCTTTTGCCATCTAGTTGCAATAATATTCATTACAGGCAATGCAGAAAATTTTATTTATTTCATATTACATATAAAACTATTGAGGACTTTATTATACTCCCATAATGTCACTGGCTCTTAGCCTTTTTTAATATCTTTCTTTTTTCAAATATCCAATCAATGTTAATGTATTTTCTAAGGTCAACAATTACTAAATATTTGGGGGGAATGTTTTCAGTCATTATTCAAACAAAGTGAGTTTTTAAAGCTCTGCAACTTAACACATTTAAATGTAATGACCACACATTACTGAATTTAGGTAATAAATGTTTCACAACTTGCATGTTTTTTCATGTCTACAGTATATTTTGGAGCTATCTTAGGACTTTGAAAATGAGTTGTTTTATGATACTGTTCTGAATTCTATTCTATTCACCCACTTGACAAATATTTCCTAATCACCTTTCTATGGGAATGGTATGTGACACAAAGACAGGAATGATTAACAAGACTGTCTTTGGCACACTGTGGGAACCAGGTGTTGGCTTGGAAATAGAACACTGTTAGTGACAGATCTACTCCAAGTTCCTTAGTATATGAAATATATTCAAATGCTATACTGCTATAGAATAAAGATGATCCTTAGTGTTTCATAAAATTTAAAAAAATCAAAACTAAAAGAGTAAAACTAAAGATTCACAAACATTAAAGCAGGTTAGAATCCTTAATAATTCCTTAAAAATAATTGTGTCCATTGAATATTGCAAAATTTACTCATCTGATATGGATAAAAAAATTCACACCAAAACTTTAGAAAGAAAGGCTTGTTTCTTAATCTTTAGCTTAGCCTGGCGTTTGGGCTTAGGATACCAATTTTTAGAAACATGCTGCCTGGTGAAAGCCATGCTATCTACACATATATACATTGTAAATAGTAGATAATACAAACATAGGGTGATAACTTGGTTGGTGATGTAATATAATAAAATAGTGTTTATCTAGTGAATGCAATTGTAGTGGTTGCAATCTATGCCTAATGTAGCAGGTCATTGTTTTCTGAAAATAAAAATGTTTAAATACATAACATTTCTGAAAGTGTAGTTTGTGTTGGTTTTGCTTCCTGGTTGGTTTTGGAGAGTATTAATCAAATTCTATTGCTGTGACAGAATACCCAACAGCTCAAGAGTGGAAAGATTTATTTTGGCTCATGGTTTAAGA